ATGTGATGACAGAAACCAATAGCAGCTTGTGCTGATTTAACTTAAGTGAAAATCAGGTCACGCCCAAGGTCACACCAAATACAAAAGTCAGCAAACAGAGCAAACCTCTGCAGCTTCTTCAAAACCAGCTGTGGGCAACCAGCCATCACAGACTGATACAGCTACTAAAGATTTCAATGAAGAATATTTAAAACTTTCTGATTAACACTGCAGACACTAAATAAGCAGTATTTATTTATCTGTGTAGGTACACCTGTAGGGAAATTTGCGTATAGAGCAGTGTGGTAAAGTAGCAGAAGCAGAAGCTTCAGATTTTATAAAAGGATGACATGTAGCTCTCATGCGTTCCATCTTCAGCAGCTAATCTTTCAGTGTTTCAGCTCTATGAGGATCAACGGGTGGGAACTTCTTATTATAAGAGCTTAAAATAATGACGACTAAACATGATGAGTGTGTTTCACACCGATAAGCTGATGAACATGATGATAACACCAGTTTCAGTCTTACACTGGGTAAAGGATGCAGCTGAAAGCCACATTTACCACATATGATAATCGTACTTTCCACTGAAGCAAACTGCTCAATAAAAGTTCACCTCAACACTCCAGAAATTTCTACTCGTCTGTGTCCTGGCATGCTTCGTACAACTTGGTAAGAACTGCAACTGCAAGACGATTGGATCATATCACTCATCAGACCTCACTGTTAAATATAAGCTCTCCTCTTTCTCTCCTGTCCGTCTTTCTCCATATTTATTTTAAATCCCTCTTTAATACTCTGGCACCTGTTTACTTGTCCAATCTGCTGAAGCCCTATGTCCCCCCTCTTTCACTCCAGTCAGCTAAGCAGCTGTTTCTCTCAGTCCCTAAATCGCGGCTGAAACTTAGAGGAGACTGAGTGTGACTGTTGTGGCCCCGAAGCTTTGGGGTGAGCTTCCTCTTCACATTAGGCAATCTACTTCAGTGGTGGTCTATAAATTCAGGTTAAAAACTCAATATTAGACACTGGCTTTCAACTCAGTGGGTAACTGACACTTGTTTTACTGCAATCTATTCATTGTATTTATTATACTTATGGTACTTATATGGTATATTTCTGCTGTACAGCACTTTGGTCGCCCATGTGTTGCTTTTAAAGTGCTATAGATATAGATATACACACACATGTGTATATATATATATATATATATATATATATATATATATATATATATATAAAAACACCCAGCACGCCCCTGCGGGCGGTTTTATCCTTCAAGCTCGGGTCCTCTACCAGGGGCCTGGGAGCTTGAGTGTCCTGCGCAGTATCTTAGCTGTTCCCAGGACTGCGCTCTTCTGGACAGAGATCTCCGATGTTATTCCCGGGATCTGCTGGAGCCACTCGCCTAGCTTGGGAGTCACCGCACCTAGTGCTCCGATTACCACGGGGACCACCGTTACCTTCACCCTCCACATCCTCTCGAGCTCTTCTCTGAGCCCTTGGTATTTCTCCAGCTTCTCGTGTTCCTTCTTCCTGATATTGCTGTCATTTGGAACCGCTACATCGATCACTACGGCCGTCTTCTTCTGTTTGTCTACCACCACTATGTCCGGTTGGTTAGCCACCACCATTTTGTCTGTCTGTATCTGGAAGTCCCACAGGATCTTAGCTCGGTCATTCTCCACCACCCTTGGGGGCATCTCCCATTTTGACCTCGGGACTTCCAGGTTATACTCGGCACAGATGTTCCTGTACACTATGCCGGCCACTTGGTTATGGCGTTCCATGTATGCCTTGCCTGCTAGCATCTTGCACCCTGCTGTTATGTGCTGGATTGTCTCTGGGGCATCTTTACACAGCCTGCACCTGGGGTCTTGCCTGGTGTGATAGACCCCAGCCTCTATGGATCTTGTGCTCAGAGCTTGTTCTTGTGCTGCCATGATTAGTGCCTCTGTGCTGTCTTTCAGTCCAGCTTTGTCCAGCCACTGGTAGGATTTCTGGATATCAGCCACCTCCTCTATCTGCCGGTGGTACATACCGTGCAGGGGCCTGTCCTTCCATGATGGTTCCTCGTCTCCCTCCTCTTTCTTGGGTTTCTGCTGCCTGAGGTATTCACTGAGCACTCGGTCAGTTGGGGCCATCTTCCCAATGTATTCTTGGATGTTCGTTGTCTCATCCTGGACTGTGGTGCTGACACTCACCAGTCCCCGGCCCCCTTCCTTCCGCTTAGCGTACAGCCTCAGGGTGCTGGACTTGGGGTGAAACCCTCCATGCATGGTAAGGAGCTTTCTTGTCTTTATGTCAGTGGCTTCTATCCTCCTCATATATATATATATATATATATATATATATATATATATATATATATATATATATATATATATATATATATATATATATATATATATACAACTGTACAGAAAAAGATAAACTACAAATAAATACAACTGTGTTGTACTTGAATAGAAATAGAAACAAATGAGATTAAATAGTACACTGACAGAGTGGAACAGTGCAATACACAATAGTGTAAGTATTGGAAGTGAGGGGATAGTGTTATGTAGTCTAAGAAGTATGTGGAGAAGAGAGAAGAGAGTCCAGTGTTGTGTTCAGGAGTCGGACCGCTTGGGGGAAGAAACTATTTCACAATTAAAACTTTTTTTTTTACTGATTTGGTGTTGCTGGTCCAGGACAGGTCCTCTGTGATGTGAACACCGAGGACTTTGGTGCTCTTCACTCTACTTGTGATGAGCACCGACGATGACACACCAGCAGGAGAGTCTTCTATGGGTCGATGTTTGATGTTCAGCGGCGTGCAGTGACGTCAAATAATGTCTCACCTCAATTGTGTTCAAACTGCTGTAGAAATGTAAGAAAGTCCAGATATTTGTATTAAAAGTAGAGAGTACGAGTTTAAAGTTGTCATAAATATAAATACACAAGCATAGGCAGCTGTGGCTACAACTGTAGCTTGCCTCCACCAGTGTATGAATGTGAGAGTGAATGAATAGTGGTATTGTAAAGCGCTTTGGGTGCCTTGAAAAGCGCTATATAAATCCACATATTATTATTATTATAGTACTTCCCACCTCTGGAGATTACTGCATTACTTCATTTTCAATAAACACATTACTAACAAAGTTTACTAAGAAATCAGAGTCATGATGAGTCCTGATGCTCCTTTAAAATGTGCTAGGGTCATGTTGTGTAGCTCTGCCAGCTCAGCTTGAGACACTTTACTGTGTTCTGGCTCATTCAGAGAGCGTTTGTGTTTCACAGTCGGAGACTCACTGTGTTTATCTGTCAGCTCAGTCTGAATATCTGAATCCAGAATCAGCGAATCTAGAACCAGCGGTGTCTGTGGTTCAGATACAGTTTTCTGAGAATTTAAACAGACCGTGAGAGTGAGCATGTTGGTATTTCACATCTATCTATATATGTGTGTGTTTAACATAAGCTTTTCTCTACATAAACAGACACTTCTTTTTAATGATTATGTGTGTGTGTGTGTGTGTGTGTGTGTGTGTGTGTGTGTGTGTGTGACCTTGTTTACATATCTTTGTGGGGAAAACTGGAAAGTTTACTATACTTGTGTGGACCAACAGCCCTTATAGGGACAAAATCCTGGTCCCCACGAGTTTGAAGGCATTTTTGGGACTCAAAATGTGGTTTTAGTGTCAGAGTTACAATTAGGTTACAGTTAGGGTAAGGGTGTGTGTCTGTGTGTGTGTGAAACAGCTTCATAGTCCCAGAAATGTGTATCTTTTCCAAAAGTAATTAAGATAAGTGTCTGGTGATATAGAAAAAAATCTTATGTTACAAACATACACAGACTCTCTCTCACACACACACACACACACACACACACACACACACACACACACACACACACACACACACACACACACACACACACACACACACACACACACACACACACACACAGCATTATTGTACTTGTACATCTGCTTCTGTAGGTTTAAACGTTAAGCTTCGTGTTTTTTGAGTTTAGCTGTTGTTACAAAAGCTTCAGCCACATCATTGGCTGGACTACTGCAATTCATTATTATCAGGATGTCCAAAAAACTCGCTGAAAAGCCTTCAGCTAATCCAAAATGCTGCAGCAAGAGTCCTGACAGGGACTAGAAAGAGAGATTAATAATCATATCTGTTATTAATCTCTGTCTCTCTTCCACAGCATGTATTTTATCCTGTCTTCCTTCTCTCACTCCAACCGGAGTCTGTATCTGCTGTACAATATAAAGCACCTTGAGGTGACTTTTGTTGTGATTTGGCGCTATATAAATAAAATTGAATTGAATCATTTCACTCACATCTAAATTAGCATTTGCTCTTTAGCTGAACATGAAGATAAAAGCCAGTTTTATCTGTCAGGGTTCCTTTTTGTCCTGTAACGATTTCATTACGAGTCACAAAAGGACATTTACAAAAGTTCTCAAAGTGATTAAACTTTATATTTTCTGCGTTGCTCTCTTCTAAGAGCAAATGCCGACAAAGAAGAAAACGAAACCAGACAACCAGCAGCCTTCTGAAACCCAAACCCACTCTTACATGTGTTTTTGTACTGATAACCGTGATCAAGTTTGTGGTTTGTACACTCGGCTCTGTGACACGTTTTCTATATAGTCTCTCATGTTTAAGACTGCTCCAGTTAACGCTGGCTGCTCTGAAAACTCTCAGTGCTGAGCGTCTCACCTGTGTGTGTCTGTCTCTGGTCCTCAACTTCTGTAAAAGAAGATTGTAACACTCTCCTCAGCTGGTGCTGCTCCACAATCCACCAACACACTGCGCACATCTGGAAAAGAATCACTTTAGCGGCCACAGTGCAGTTCATCTATAGTTTGCTGTGAACTGTGCTCATAATATGTGAGACAACATGGCCCACCAAACCTGGAATATCCCTAGACTTTTTTCATTTTTGTTGATTTCATTTGACCTTTTCAGCACATGGAAGTGAAATCATACATGGTACAAAAGCCCCAGAGAACTCCATGCACTACATGGCCTCTGTGCAGAACAAAAAGGGTGAACATGTTTGTGGAGGATTTCTCATGACTGAGGACTTTGTAGTGTCGGCTGCACACTGTGATGGCTCGTGAGTAATCAAACATCTTCTGCTGTAATCTCTGACTCATGTCTTTGAAACACATTTAGAAAATGTATTGATTTCCTTTAACTGATTACTCCTTCATCAGCCTCACACACGTCGTTCTCGGCAACCACAATCTCAAGAAAGGCAGTCATCAAAAAATAAAGATTGAAAACAAAACCATCCATGAAAATTATCAACAGGTTGGACTGGGTAATGACATCATGCTGATTAAAGTAAGGACATATTCACAGTTTAACATGATACATATTTGTGGTCTTATTATTCTAATTGTATTTTTTTTATATATTATTTTAGCGTCTTTACCTCACAAATTAAAGCACGTTGAGAGAACTGTTGTTGTGATTGGGCGCTGTATAAATAAAATTGATTTGGACTGAAACAGACATTTCTATTTTTACTTTGTGTCTCCAGCTGTCTGAGAAAGTTAAACTGGGCCATGGCGTAGAAAAAATTAAGCTTCCACAGGCTGAAATAAACCTAAAAGAAAACCAAGTGTGTCAGGTGGCTGGATGGGGAACAACTAAAACTCACGGTAAACCTGTTGATGAGCTGAGGGTGGTGGACGTGTCTGTCATTCAACGAAAGGTCTGTGAGCCCCAGTGGCCTGGTCTTCCTGCCAATGTTATCTGTGCAGGTGGATATGAGACAGACAAAGGATTCTGTCAGGTATGTTTTCTGTCCTTTCCGTGTAAACTGGCTCCTTGATCACAAATATATAAAAATAAATGGAATAAAAGCTGGTAAATTAACATTCTTCCTCTTCACAGGGAGATTCTGGTGGTCCTCTGGTGTGCGACGGGTTGGCTGTTGGCATTGTTTCTTTCAACTATAAAGAAAACTGCAGTTACCCCAATAAACCCAACATCTATACAGACATCTCAAAATACCTTCAGTGGATCAACAGGATTGTGAAATCCAGAAAATATGAGGAGTAAAAACTTCACTGAAAATTTGGCTTGTATATTAATGAAATGTCAGCATTTCTGATTCTCTGTCAGTGTAGTCAAAAATGAAAAGAATTAAATATGTGATTTCCTTTTTTTAAATGATTGTTTTGTTTGAACATTATAAATAATAAAAATAACAATAAAACACAGTAAACAGTAAAAAAAACCCTACCCATATAAATGTGATAAAGACTGTTCTCATTTACCAGCTTACATTAAAAAATAAATACCATCAAAAATTTGTAGAATGTGTCCTTTCCTGTTAAATACCTGGAAGTTCAGTGAGGTTGATCCACTTGATCATATGACCCATGTCCTGAAAATACACTGTACTTATGATATAAGGTTTCTACAAGTAATAAATTACATATGAATTAAAATGACCTACAGTACTAGCAATTACTTACAGTATTTGTGTATTTCCTTTCAAGTACTCAAAATTTAGGTACAACCTAAAATTACTTACACACTACTTAAATGCAACTATTATTATTTTTTAAGTAACTGGCGTTGCAATACTTAAAACATCACGTTGCAATGAATAATTATATACCACACAATCTACACACTTGAAAATGAGCAGTTATTTAATCATATCCTCATTAATGCTGTTTAATCATTTACAAATCACTGTTTTTCCCCTTCAGCCAGTGGAACAATTACCCACTCAGTGTAAATACACTCTACTCTGCTTTATTGTCATCTTCAGATAACAACAGATGATTATCACCAACCACAGTCTTCTCAAAGTTTGCAGAGTCATCTACGCTTAAATATAAATGAAACACATATAAATGTACATCTGTAGTGTTCTGTGTGCAGCATATGTATATTCCAACACATGCACAGTATTTTAAAGTGAGCGGGGAGTGTATTGTGCAAATGATGCTCCTCATTTCTGTTAAACACTGTTGGTGGTGATTCTTTCAACTACAAAAACAACTGCAAACACCCCGATAAGCCCAACGTCTATATGACATCTCAAAATACCGTCAGTCTACTGACAAGCTAATTAAGTTTTACTTTTGCATTATTGAAATGTAATTTCTGATCACACTGTAAGTGTGACCAGAAATAAAAAAATAAAAATATCATTAGACATTTCATATCCTTTTGTAACAATTGTGATCTTTTTTTATTATCAGCTCGATTTCAACAAGAGTGAAACATTTGTTGATTCAGTCATTTCAATTAAACTGTTTAATAAAGGGTCATTGGGACAAAAGGAAGATTAAAAGAGTACATAGTGATGAGGAAATAAAGTCACCAGAGATCACTGGTCTATTGCAAGACTATCACATAGAGAAAGACAACCTTTCACACTCCTGTGTGAATTTAGAATCACCCGCTAACTTCACTGCATGGGGATAGATCCCATGCGGGCGTGAGCATCACTTAACACTGTGGTCACATCAGGCCTCACACATGCAGGGCAAGACTTAGGCACTGTTCTTGCTGGCCTTGTTGAGAGCAGCCACCCAGTCTCTCATGTCGGTCACATCATTGGCTTGCAGGAAGTACCGTCACGAAAGTGCATTGATGACAAAGCAGAACTCTGTCTTGGGCTTTTGCTTCGTTGTAGCTTCACTCACCTTATGTAGGTTAATTTCAGGCTGCCAGTCTCCACTGGGCAGGTTCTGAGGGTTGTCCAGTTCAAATAGGCTGCACAAACAATTCAGCTTCCGTGTGCTTAAATACACCTGCAACAAAAGGATGTGCATGGGCAGGTGGGCGAATGACTGAAATGAGAGTGGTGTACGTGTCTGTCATTAACCCACAAGCCTGAGGAACAATGGTGTGGTTTTCCTGCCAGTGTTATCTGTGCAGGTGGACATAATACAACACAGTTAAACCCCACAGTTAAATAGGGCAATGGCACCACCTACTGTCTAAAGGCCCCTCTGCATGGACTTATAATGCCAAAGGATTATGGGTAATCCTCAGAGTAGGAAGATTCACAACCAGGTAATGATGTATATAAGCCTTTCCTAAAGCTGAGACTGCTCAGACTCTCTTCAAAAGCAGAAAATCGCACGAGGCCTACCCAATCTTAATTTTTTTTCTAATCAAAAAATAAGAGAAAGTGATGTCTTTCCTTAAATGTGTTTTTTTTAAACAGCATTACCAACACAGACTGTTAGTAATAAATCGTTAATGCTACGCAGTCATATGCAAGGTGGCTACCACTGCAGAGTGAATATTAGAAGCTAATGTGCAGTAAGTTTAGGTCAGAGTAATGAACAACAATTAAATTAACCACCTCCTATAACCAATTTTGATTCACTTTTTATATAAATAAATACATTTATATAAATATGTAACTCTACATACTTCTAAAAATCTCAGACGGAATTTGGTTATTACTGCGGTTCGCCTGCAATACCTTTGTGACCCACCAGGGGGCCCCCAGCCCCCAGCTTAAAAACAAATAGTTATGTCTATAACTTCTGTTCCCTGAACGAGAGGAATGAGGTACAACATTAAGTATGGGATATCACGCCCTCGCGTGTTCTGGCTGAAGAAACCTTTATTCACGTGATGAAACGCGCACGGCCCAACCTGCACATATAGCCGCTGTCATCACAGTAGGAAACCGGCCCTTGAAGCCTGGAGTTTTACACCCCTGTTTTAAAGTCTCTTTGTGCTGGCTTTCATCTTCTCTTTGTGATGTGGGTGTTGTCTTCATACCTAAATACTAAAAGAAAGATCATACGTGTCCTCATCAGGATAGGGATTTGTGTTGGTGTGTGGGGCTGTAGACTCGGGTTAATTTTGTTACATGATGGTTATGAGACAGTGTGTTTCAGGTCATTTTACAGATTAACATGAAAGTAATGAAACTATTGAATTACTTTTTCTTACTAGTAATTCATTAATGCTAATACTTCTGTAAAAAGTGCTTTGTGTAATATGTGTAATACATTCATTCTTTTAAATATTGACTGACAACAAAGAGGGCACATATCTCCAACATGCACAAACATGTGACCAACAACATGTAATTAATTTGCATGAACGTAATATGATGTTTGGCGATAGTGGTGACTTTCAAAGAGGAACCAGTGAGAATCGATGATGAAATCAGAATTGCTAAATTCTTATCCGTTCCCATCCCTACAAGGAACATGACTCAAACACTGTCTCCTCCACACAGTCCTCATTCATAAAACGCATTCTTAAAATGCCTGAACATTACGGCCAACAGGTGGATTCATATGAGCTAACCAACAGTGAAGAACCAACCAACCAACCCAGTGACTTCACATTCTGTACTGCCACAAGATGGTGCTGCACTCTTTAAACGGAAACTTTAAACTCTTATTTTGAAAATCCAGCTTCACAGACAGAGTTCACGCATGACAGTTTTGGGTTGTTGTTTTTTTAAAGTAGGGCTCCATGGTGTAAATTAGACTTAATACTTGTAGTGGTTTATGTCCACTTTAAGCATCTTGGTACCAAAAATACCCCAAAAATTCTGTAAAAATACAAATAAAACAGCATCATCTAGCTTATTATAATATATTATAGCTTGTTTGGCTTAACATAATAGCTTCATAACTTGATTTAAGTTATGAATGAATTTGGGATGAGTAGTAAGAGTAAAAAATGAGTTATCATGCAAAATACCAACTGATATTTCTGTAATAAAACTACATCTGTGTTTAAAGCATCCGAGAGAAGTCACCTGATTTAAAAACATGGAGGAACACGAGGAGCAAAGTGTAAACATTACAAAAGTCAAATGATATTAAGAGCAGAAAACTGAAGAATGAGTTTGTTTAAGATATTGTGTAAAAATCACCACATAATAAAGGTTTCGGACTCACACTGTAATACAGCATTTATAAAGATATTTATGAGGCCGTCTACAGGTTCAGATCAGAAATGAAGTCAGATTAATAGTGCAAACACACAGTCACTGAGACATCAGCATAAGTGAAAGTGTTCTGAATGTGAACACAGATGTGAAAGATGAGTATGTGCGTAAATGTTTTTCAAGTAACTATAATGACAGCTCATCTGAATGCTGTGGTTTCTGTGTTTTATCTAGTTTGCTGCACTGAGCTGCACTTTGATAATATCACTTAAATGTGTTAAGTCTTCAGTTTGACTTCTTTACTGTGCTGTGTGAAAGATCAGAGAAAACAAGCCTGGAATGAACAAATCCCAAACTGAGTGAACAAAAATAGAAATGACGGGGAGAAGGATATTTTTGGCCACAATCTGTTGCTTATTGATTATATGCTGTGTACTGACTTTACTTTCTGTTGTAAGATTGGATGTTGCTTAAGAATGCATGCAACACACTGTAAAACTAAAGCACATTAGGTCATCTTTTTATATGGAAACCTCCAAAACCTCCAAACCTCCAAAAGTTAATCCACCAGCTATATTAGTATGAAACTCTCGGGTGCACTGGGCCTGATTACATATAAGGAAGCTTGCAATAATATGAAATAAGTCCCAATTATCAACTTGGTGTCATCTGCTGGAAGAAAGTGAGAAGTAAAATTATATATATTGCATTACTGGCTGAAAACCATATTCTGGTATTAGCAGAAAGCAAACCAGACTTAATTTCTGTGAAGATAGAAGTTTGACGTGACTATTCAATGAGCAACAACTGGAGAAGAAACACTGACACAACAAAGCTTTAATCTGCTAATGATCTTACTTCTGTTTTGATAGGGCTGGATAACATTTGCTGAAGTACTTACTAAATAATTGATGGTTAATTAGTAAGCAGTTAACTGATATTCCACAAATATGTGTCAGATGTGTCAATATGGTCTGCAGAAAAACCTGCTCCTCCATCTTCTGGCATGCCTTTGAAAAGCTCGGTAAGAAAGTTTTGTTATTATTCTCTGATCATTTAATATGGCGTTAACTAGATTTTCTTTAGTTTGTTCTTTTGGAAGTAACATCATACATGGTGAAAAAGCACCCAAAAACCTGATGCAGCCTCTGTGCAGAACAACAAGGGTGAACATGTTTGTGGAGGATTTCTCATCAAGGAGGACTTTGCAGTCTCTGCTGCACACTGTGATAAATAGTGAGTAATCAAACATCTTCTGCTGTAATCTCTGACTCATGTCACTGAAACACATTTAGAAAATGTATTGATTTCCTTTCATTGATTACTCCTTCAGCAACCTCACATACGTCGTTCTCGGGAACTACAATCTCAAGAATAGCAGTCATCAAAAAATAAGGATTGAAAACAAAACCATCCATGAAAATTATAAAGATGTTGGACATCATGATGATTAAAGTAACTACATGTTGGTGTTCACAACAGCTTCACATGACATATTTGCGGTCTTATTATTCTAATTACATTGCAACAAAAGAGCAATCATATGAAAACTGGTATTTTTACTTTATGTTGTTTGTCTCCAGTTGTCCAAGAAGGCTCATCTAGGCCATGGGGTACAAACAATTAAGTTTCAACCTGCTGAAATAAACCTAAAAGAAAACCAAGTGTGTCAGGTGGCTGGATGGGGAAAAACTGAAACTGTTGATGATAAACCTGCTGATGAGCTGATGGTGGTGGATGTGGATGTGTCTGTCAGTGGGGTGACTTCTAAATGGCCACCATGGTCACCACCCATCTGGAGGAGTTTGCCCCCTCACGTATACTAATGTGCCACAAACAGGACTTTAACATCACCAACCATTCCCATGTTATTACGGTGTATCCATATAAATGGCCCACCCTGTAGATTACTGTAATCCTCTGGTTAAAATGAGGAGACAATAGTTTACAATTTAGAAATTTTCCTTAAATGAAGAGAGGAGTCAAATCTTACAATAAGATAATGAACAGTGGATGGACAAAACAAAGTAATCACTTGACTGATTCTTGAATGTATATCGGGAGCAGCTATTATCACGACCTTGGTGTTATTGGAGTTTAAAACAAAGCAATTATTGGAGAGCCAGCCGCAAATCTCGGATAAACAATCAACTAAGGTGTATCCAGCTGACAAGGCTTAAAAGACATAAACAGCAGAATATCATCGGCATGGAAATAAGAAACAAAAGAATGGAATAATGCTGAAGGTAGCATGTAAAAGAAAAATAACAATAGACCAAGGACTGAACTTTGTGGAACCCCACAGGTTAGAGAAGCAGTGCTAGAGAACTTGTTCACCCTGACAGAGAAATATCCTTTCAGAAAAATAGGAAGAAAACCAGAATAGCGCTTAAACAGTGATTCCAGACAAAACCTTGCAAAATATTTTGGTGTAACGGTATTAATGGTAACATTTTCTCATTGAGGCACCTGTTAATTGTATTAACACCAAAGCAGCAATTAACAACCCCCTCTTCTACTTAACTGACCAAATCAGTATCCCAGAATGACTGACTTGATACAATACTTGTTTATAAGTCTGAGCACATACGTGTGTGTATTTACATATATATTCGTATTTGTAAATGCAAGTATGTGTACTTGTGTATATATTGTTTTTTTCTGTATATGTCTGAAATAAAGATACAATACAATACAATAAATATGTATCTGTGAAATGTTCAATCACATTAATTGTGTGGTGTTTTTTATGATCACAATTTAAAAAGACACACAATCACACAATGTATTACCTATCAGACAGTGTGATAAAAAAAAAACAAAAAACACTGCTATATTTTATTTGAAAATGTAAGAGAAGCAAAGTGATTTTTACCTCGTCAAATATGTAAATAAATAAGCCACAAAGGGCTCGTTTGACAAAGAACAAATCAAGAATGTGGCCTGACTGCCTTTTTAGGCTTAAAAGACATTTAATTTGGTTAAAAATGAAGGACTGATTACCAATTTTTGATCAAGATTTTTTAAATTAAGATTAAGATTTAGTGATGTGAGATTTAGAAGTTACTGTAAAAACATGACACTTTGAGAGAATTGCAGTACAAACAATAAGAGACAGACAGAAGGAAAGATATCTTTACTTCAGCTTTATTAGAAAGTAGGAAAAGTAGAAAGTAAAAGTAAAGTAAAATATTGTTTTGTATCAATTTTGTTTTTTGTGGGGTCTTTGGTGGTGTCAAGTACAAATACTGAACAAAACTAAACAAGAAAACATATTTTAAAAATTTATCTTTGTGAAAAAATCTGTTCAAAATCCTCATATTCATTTACTGGACATAGTGAATGTGTCTGGGGGACAGACTGGACAGTCTCACTGTTGTTTTACTTTTGTGTGTGCATAAACGGACTAACCACAGGCTGCTATGTGCACAGTCTGTAACGATTAGAGCAAGCCAGCAGTGACAAAGATTCCATAAAATATAACATAATCAATGAGATAATAAAATGATGCTGGTCAAGTGAAAGGTATGAAGTGATAGCTCAGCCGATTAAACATCATAAAAGCATAAAACATTGTCATCTAGCTTAGTTTATGTGGACTGATGCCTGATGACTTTTAAGACTTCATAGTTTCTTTGATCCACTTGAGTTGCCTCTTTGAGAGAAACGAGTAGACTCCAGGCTTGTAAATGTCCCCACAACCGACTCCAAAAGAAGTAACTCCAACCAGCTGAAAGCCGCACAGCAGTGGGCCTCCGGAATCCCCCTGCAGCAAGTACATATGCACTGTAGACCTTTTTCTCACTTACAGGTGTCAAAACGTCAAAAGGGTGCTGAGCTCAATGATTACATGCTCATATACATTCTTCATATTTACTTGACAGGTATCCGCTGCTTTTTTGCCATTTGAACCAGCACATACCATTTTACTGACTTTGTTGTATTTACTGATTCCTTAAGCTGAGAAAGAGTTGAAAAGAAATGTTACATTTTGACAGTGACTATCTATATGTTACAGACTTGCCACTGTGATAAAGTCTGGGTCACTACTTAATAATTTATATATTTTTTTTGGAAAATGGGAAATAGGTGAGGCGAATTATTGAAACATGTATAAACATACACAGAAATGGACTTTATAAAGTGGAAACAAACGTATTTTTTTAGGCAGGTTTGTGTGCATGTGCTGATGGTGTACTAAAGTTGTGGTGTGAGAGAGAAACTCGCAACCATTAAACAGCCCATGTGTTTCAGGAAGACAGTGTAGTGTAATACTGATAAACAAGATAATGTAAAGATAATACAGGTGCCCAAAAAAAAACAGGATGCGGTTAGAAGTCAAAATGTGATCATCAGGTTTGACAGAGCAACTGCTGTGTAAAACCTTCACTTCACACTCATGCCAACACAACTTCACCTTTTTTGCTGGCATCATGCGCAGTCTTCAAAAAATCCTGCTCCTCCATGTTCTGGCATGTCTCGAACGACTCAGTAAGAACTGCAAGTCTTTCTTATTGTCCTCCGACCGTTTAATGGAACGTTTACTTCATTTTGGTTTGCTTTATTTGACTTTTTCCAGCACATGTTATTGCCATCATACATGGAAAAAAAGCCCCAGAGAACTCGATGCAGTACATGGCCTCTGTGCAGGACAACAACGGTCACCATGTTTGTGGAGGATTTCTCATCACTGAGGAATTTGTAGTCTCGGCTGCACAATGTGATGACTCGTGAGTAATCAAACATCTTCTGCTTCTGCTTCTCTGACTCATGTCATTAAAACACATTGTATTGATTACCTCTCATTGATTACTCTTTCAGGAGCCCCACACACGTTGTTCTCGGCAACCACAATCTCAAGAACGGCAATCATCAAAAAATAAAGATTGAAAACAAACTCATCCATGAAAATTACCAACACGTTGGACTGGGTAATGACATCATGCTGATTAAAGTAAGTACATGCTCATGTTCACAACAGTTTACATGTTGTGTAATTTCCCCTTGTGGGACAATTAAAGGATTATTCTATGTGGTTTCATTATTCAGATTATATCTAGAGAACTATCGTATGAACATAGATATATTTTTTACTTCATGTTGTGTCTCCAGCTGTCTGAGAAAGTTAAACTGGGCCATGGAGTAGAAATAATTCAAATTCCACATGCTGAAATAAACCTAAAAGAAAACCAAGTGTGTCAGGTGGCTGGATGGGGAACAACTAAAACTCATGGTAAACCTGTTGATGAGCTGATGGTGGTGGACGTGTCTGTCATTGACAAACAAGTCTGTAAAGAACAATGGCCTGATCTTCCTGCCAATGTAACCTGTGCAGGTGGATATAAGACAAACAAAGGATTCTGTCAGGTATGTTTTCTGTCCTTTCAGTTTAAACAGGTTTCATGTTCACAAATCTTAAAAACATAAACATAATGAACATAAACTGATAAATTAAAATTCTTCCTCCTCACAGGGAGATTCTGGTGGTCCTCTGGTGTGTCATGGGTTTGCTGTTGGGGTTGTTTCTTTCAACTATAAGGAGAACTGCAATTACCCCAATAAACCCAACGTCTATACGGACATCTCAAAATACCGTCAGTGTTTCTGAAAACATTTTTTGTGTAAAACACTTAAAATAAAAAGGTTTTTCTTTTCACTATTGAAATGTGAGAATTTCTGATTCTTTCATCAGTTTAACCAAAAACAAAAATACAAACGTATCCCACACTCAATCTGTCATTTCTTTCTGTAACAGCCAAAAGGCTGAATTTTTAATATTATTTCTGCCTTTGTAGTGGACCACGCTTCAGTTTGCCTGTGACGAAAGACATATTTGCATCCTTGTATGTTTTTTTGCTTCTCAAAATTTTAATTCAGTTTTTTCCAATTAAACTGAAGTTCAGTGTCAAATGAAGTAATCAAATTCAGACTTGAACAGCTCTTCTGGTACAGCTTTATCATTTTTACTTTTTTTTTAAATTGGTAAATTATATTCATAATATAATTTTAAGTCTGCAGGTGTTACCATGGATACAGGTCAATGACTGCAGAGCCACATTCTTCTACCAGAAAATGAGAAAATATGTTTCATAACATTTCATTTTTTATATTCCTTGTTTGTTGCTCTATGAATGATGAACAGAAGCGTACTACAGTAAAGCTCAAAAACATGCTGGGTTCAGGGAATGACTACTTTTTGGTATTTAAGTAATATGAGGATTTTGTCGGCTTACTGTCAGATCCAACATGTGCTCGGTGGAGATGCTGTTTGTTTTTACTATAAATGCATTACACAATGCTTGTCCTCGCTCTCACAAGTCACCACCTGATGTTTGTGGAGAAGGGTGATTATTGGCAAAAAGACATAAGATTTGAGGGTAATAGTAGAATGACCTGGTTTGCAGTGGCTTGGATTTTTTTATACTGCACACACCTGTGCTGGAAGATTTTATCAAACATTATAACAACTTCATCTACTGAAACAGCATGTTCTAGTGGTTCAACAGAGACCCATACAAATCTTCCTCTGAGGGAAATGAGGCTCAAACAACAACACACTAGATTTCATTTATGTGCACTATATCTTACTACAGCTGGAGTACAGATTTATGAGGATGAGGATAATGAATAATAAATTCACATTAATGCTGCAGACGCTGAATGAATGATAATTCAACAGATGAAAAGCTCTGTGAGTGCAGTTCCACTAACCACAGTAATATCTTCTTAACTGTGAGTGTAGAGCATCGACTCTTAATCTAAAACACAAAGGCAAATAAGTATATAAAATTACACATTATACTTATAAAAAAAGAGTCCAAACCTCCAAATTCTACCAACTACATTAGAATGAAATTGTGTTGATATAATTATATAGATATGAGAAGCTCCATTCAACCCAAAAGAGTCATAAACTGGCTGTTAAGCCGGCAGGAGTCAACCCAAATGCAGACTCACAGGCAGGACTTTAACTCTTTAACACTAGCTCTTATTGCTGGATATGAACAGAGGTTGAAAGAGTACTAAAATATTCTACTCAAGTAAAAGTAATATTACTTTGATGAAATTTTACTCAAGTACAAGTAAAATTACCTGTCTAAAAATGTACTCAAGTAAAAGTAAAAAGTAACTAATTTAAAATGTACTCAGAGTAAAAGTTAAATAGTTTTTTTTTTGACAGCAGGAGAACAATGGGATACAAATCTCAAAGTAGTTGTTTTTTAATTAAAAGAAAAACAAATTAAAGTGCAATGGCAGTTAAACTGGGTAATGGTCACAAGCATTGTTGGTCAAGTTACTTGAAAAAAGTAATCAGTAAGTAATTACTGATTACGGTGGGATCACTCTGATACACGGCATACGATACGGCATCGTGGTGGGGGGCGGCATCACGGGCATCGGCAAAAAAGAAATAAAATTGCTCGTACTCATGCTGCCCCGACATCAGCCAGCGCATATTCGGAATGGCATAGGCACCGATTGTTTTTACATCGCCCATTAGGATAGCCAATGCAGTGATTATATACTGCACGTGCTCCAACTCCAACTATAATATCATAATTATGACTGCAGAGTGTTCGAGCTTATATCTAAATCTAAATCTGTTATTTCCTTGTTACTTCTCTGACATTTCAGGTTGTGTCTCTGCTTTCTTCACTTGTTAGACAAACATTTTTTTTGCATAACACAAAAAGGAAAATAAATATGTAATGTCACAGATTATAGATTTGTATATAGATGATATTTATATAGAGTGTTCTTCCTGATAAGGAAGAGCTAAGAGAGACATATGTGGAAGAAAAGTGATTATAGTGATATATATAAGAAGAGTTATTTATGAAAAGCACAGACAGACTGCACAGTAATGAATAAAGTTCATGATTCCCAGCTAAACAATTGTAATTTCATTGACTTCCCAGGCGTAGAACATGCTGTTCCAAACTCTGATTTGTGTTTTTCAAAATATTACAAATGTACAGAAAACTACACAAGAGGCTGAAGGTCTTGGGGGAAATCAGCGCTGTTATTGGCAGTATTGTAAGAAAACAGTGAAGAAACAATAGTTTCTCATTCATTATTCTTCCAGGAATATTCATCCAGTGTTATTTGGGGTGCCCGAGATTTTAAGAAGGCTGATGATCACACAGAGTGCAAGTATTTGCAAACATACTTATTATAATTTAATCTCTGGCTCTCTTCCACAGCGTGTCTTTGGCTGCCTTTCCCTCAGCCTTGTTCTGTTGGAGGTTTCTTCCTGTTAAAATGGAGTTTTTCCTTCCCACTGTTGCCAAAGCGCTTGCTCATCATAGGGGGTCATCTGATTTGGAGGGTTTTCTCTGTATTACTGTAGAGTCTTTACCTTACAATAAAATCACAGTGTAATTTACCCCCAGGGTTAAATATTAATTATACTTTAATACTACCTAAAATACTTAGTTGCATCTTGTGAACATCTGCTCTGCCAGCTGATTGAGTGGCTTGTTTTGTACACCTGACCAAGGAACTAGGGATGGGAATCGAGAACCAGTGTTCCAGTTCCTTGTCATTGTTAGTCTGCTTGTCTATCGATCTGATTTATTGGTTCTTGTACTTAAACTGCAATCAGCTGGTTTCAGTTTGTGTCTTGAAATGTGAGCGTATGCAGACTCCAGACCAGCAGCCAGAGCCTGAACTTCAACAGGTAACAAACTGATGAGCAGTCAGGCTGCAGCTTCCATTTCTACCTGTTCATGTTTCTAAAGCAGAATCACGTTGATGATCGCTTTAAAACAGGGGTGTCCAACTCCAGGCCTCAACCTGCAGGTTTTAGATGTGTCCTTGATCCAACACAGGCAAATAAATGGCTAAATTACCTCCTCAACATGTCTTGAAGTTCTCCAGAGGGCGGGTAATGAACTAACTATTTGATTCAAGTGTGTTGAACCAGGATTATATCTAAAACCTGCATGAAACCGGCCCTTGAAGCCTGGAGTTTTACACCCCTGCTTTAAAGTCTCTTTGTGCTGGCTTTCATCTTCTCTTTGTGATGTGGGCTTTGTGTTCATACCTAAATACTAAAAGAATGATCATACGTGTCCTCATCAGGATAGGGATTTGTGTTGGTGTGTGGGGCTGTAGCCTCGGGTTAATTTTGTGACATGATGATTGTGAGATAGTGTGTTTCCGGTCATTTTACAGACTAACGTGAAAGTAATGTAACTATTGAATTACTTTTTCTTACTACTAATTCATTAATGCTAATACTTCTGTAAAAAGTGCTTTGTGTAATATGTGTAATACATTAATTCTTTTAAGTAACTACTCACAACAAAGAGGGCACATATCTCCAACATGCACAAACATGTGACCAACAGCATGTAATTAATTTGCATGAACGTAATATGATGTTTGGCGATAGTGGTGACTTTCAAAGAGGAACCATTGAGAATTGATAATGAAATCAGAATTGCTAAATTCTTATCAGTTCCCATCCCTACAAGGAACATGACTCAAACACTGTCTCCTCCACACAGTCCTCATTCATAAAACGCTTTCTTAAAATGCCTGAACATTACGGCCAACAGGTGGATTCATATGAGCTAACCAACAGTGAAGAACCAACCAACCAACCCAGTGACTTCACATTCTGTACTGCCACAAGATGGTGCTGCACTCTTTAAACGGAAACTTTAAACTCTTATTTTGAAATTCCAGCTTCACAGACAGAGTTCATGGATGACAGTTTTGGGGGGTTTTTTGTAGTAGGGCTCCATGGTGTAAATTAGACTTAATACGTGTAGTGGTTTATGTCCACTTTAAGCATCTTGGTACCACAAATACCCCAAAATTCTGTAAAAATACAAATAAAACAGCATTATCTAGCTTATTATAATATATTATAGCTGGTTTGGCTTAACATAATAGCTTCATAACTTGATTTAAGTTATGAATGAATTTGGGATGAGTAGTAAGAGTAAAAAATGAGTTATCATGCAAAATACCAACTGATATTTCTGTAATAAAACTACATCTGTGTTTAAAGCATCCGAGAGAAGTCACCTGATTTAAAAACATGGAGGAACACGAGGAGCAAAGTGTAAACATTACAAAAGTCAAATGATATTAAGAGCAGGAAACTGAAGAACGAGTTTGTTTAAGAAATTGTGTGAAAATCACCACATAATAAAGGTTTCGGACTCACACTGTAATACAGCATTTATAAAGATATTTATGAGGCCGTCTACAGGTTCAGATCAGAAATGAAGTCAGATTAATAGTGCAAACACACAGTCACTGAGACATCAGCATAAGTGAAAGTGTTCTGAATGTGAACACAGATGTGAAAGATGAGTATGTGCGTAAATGTTTTTCAAGTAACTATAACAACAGCTCATCTGAATGCTGTGGTTTCTGTGTTTTATCTAGTTTGCTGCACTGAGCTGCACTTTGATAATGTCATTTAAATGTGTTAAGTCTTCAGTTTGCCTTCTTTACTTTGCTGTGTGAAAGATCAGAGTGTCAGGGTCCCCGAGCAGCTATGAATTATATTATTATTGTATGTATATTTGGTGTTGCTGTCCTTCTCCTTGTTTGCACGTGTGTGTGTGTGTGTGTGTGTGTGTGTGTGTGTGTGTGTGTGTGTGTGTGTGTGTGTGTGTGTGTGTGTGTGTATCTGTTTCTGCGGGCGCCTTCAGACCTGGTGGGTGTGGCCCTGCTGGCGGACTGGCCACACCCGAAGCCACACATCTGCTGATCAGGCCTCGTCGGGGGAGCTACTTAGGAGAGTCTTGGAGCTCCCACCGACGCGGGATCGTTCCGTGAGACTCCACGTTAGTCACCCAGTTTAGGGTTAGTCGTTTAGTGCATGCCTGCTATTGT